TCCTAGACCCTTATCTCACCCTGCACAAAACCCAACTCAAAATGGATCAAAGACCTAGGAATTAGACCAGAAGCCAGGCAACTCCTAGAAGAAAGCATAGGGTCAACCCTCTAGCATGTAGACACAGGCAGCGACTTCTTCAATGAGATGCCCAAAGCTCAGGAAAAAATGCCAAGAGTTAATAAATGGGATGGTATCCAGTTAAACCCTTCTGCACAGCAAAGGAAACAATTAGAAATGTGAAGAGAGAACCCACAGAATGGGAGAAAATCTTTCTAGTTGCCCTATTGACAGAGGATTAGTATCTGGAATAAATAAAGAACTCAAAAAAAAAAAAAAAACCACTACAAAATCAAATAACCCAATTATTAAGTGGGCAAACAAATTAAAGACTCTTCTCAAAAGAAGAAATACAAAGGGCCAGCAAATACAGAAAAAAGTGGAAAAAATGTTCCACACCATTAGCGATTAGGGAAATGCAAGTCAAAATATACTGAGATTTCATTTTATACCAGTCAGAATGGCAGTCATCAAGAATACAAATAATAAATGCTGGAGAGAACGTGGAGAAAAAGGAATCGTTTTATACTGTTGGTGGGTCTGCAAATTAGTACAACCATTATGGAAATCAGTATGGAGGCTCCTCAAAAGACTAGGCATGGAACCACCCTACGACTCAGCTCTACCACTTCTCTGTATTTATCCTGAAGAATTGAAGTCATCTTACTACAGTGACACATGCACGCCCATGTTTATAGCAGCACAATTCACAGTAGCCAAGCTATGGAACTAGCCTAGGTGTCCATCAATGGATGAATGGATAAAGACAATGTGGTCTGTGTATACAGTGGTTTTTTTTCAGCTATGAATAAAAATGAAATCATGGTATTTGCAGGAAAATGGATGGAACTAGAGACCATTATGTTAAGCGAAATAAGTCAAACTCAGGAGGTCAAGGGTCATATGTTCTTTCTCATATGCGGAAGCTGGAGAGGAAAAAGGAAAAGAAAGGTGGGGGTGGATTTCCTAAAAATCAAAGGGAGATCAGCAGAAGGGGAAGGCAGGAGGGGAGGGAGGGAGGGAGAAGATGTAGGGGAGTGATTTTGGCCAGTTTATGTTGTTCTGCTGTGTGCATGTACGAACATGTAGCAACAAACCCCCTTAGTATGTGCAACTATAAGGCATCAGTAAAAAAAAATGTGGGGGAAAAGGTCTTATTTCCTCATCTTTCCCTTAGGTCTCTTTCTACCTGCTTCTTATTTCTTCAGTCCCCAAGAGGCACACAGCACGTACCTAAAACACCACCAGACATTGTACTCTGGAGATAAACTCTTCAGAAGGGACTCCCCTACCTGGTCATGCGAAGAGCCTCCTCCCCGGATTCTGCTCTCCCAAAAGGGCCCTTAGGTCCCCTGGTCCAGGAGGACACCAGCCTCCAAGAGGGGAAGGTGGGAACAGGTGATCCTCGTCACTGTCTTTGCATTATCATCGTTGTCATTGCTTCAGTACTTGAGTGGTTCAAAAGAACATTCCACAGAGGACAGAGGAAAGAGGGGTCAGAACTCAGGGCGCAGATTCCAGACCGTGGGTGTTGGAGGCTCACGGCTTCCAGGGAGAGGCCAGGCAAGGCCCCCGAGTGGCCGCCTCTGTGCCTTGTTGGTGGGGAGGCAGGGGTCTTCTGCTGCTTCTCTGGACACCCAGGAGCTTGCCTGTGTCGGGTGCTGGCTCACCCTGCAGGCCCGGCCTCCTCCAAACAGGGAGGAAGAAGGGAGAAAGCAATAGGCAGGTAGTAGCCGAGTGTCCCTGTCCTCTGACACCAGAGTGAGCACAGGAGCCACACTGGGAAAGAGGCCTGTGCACACAGAGCCTCAAGAGCCCAGGACTTGACCCACCGTGAGCTCCTGCTGGTTCTGCCCTGTGCAGTATGAGCCCAGGCTGGGGACCCAGGCAGGGAAGAGCCTGGGGCTGAGCCCTGGTCTCACCTCCATGAGGCTGTTTGTACTTGGCCCGTTCTTGGCTCCTCTCTGGGGGCTCCAGGTCCTCATCCATAAATGAGAAGCAGCCACCATCTTGGAAGGGTTTAATCCATACCAGGAACCAAGCCCAGCCCTCGGCTGACATTCTTTTTATTTTATTTATTTACTTTTTTAATACTTTTATTTTGTTTATTTTATTATTTTTTTTAGTTGTCGGTAGACCTTTATTTTATTTATTAATATGCGGTGCTGAGAATCGAACCCAGTGCCTCACACATGCCAGGCAAGTGTACTCACACTGAGCCCCAGCCCCAGCCCTGACATTCTCTTTAAATCCTCACCCTGAAAGTAGATATCCTGGGTCCAAAAATAGTACAAAAAAATGTCTACATAGACTTCACTCAGATGGTTCAGTTACTGATATTTTATTACACTGTCTCATCGTCACACATACATGCGTATGAACCCATATGTATATAGATGTAGGTATTCAAGCATTTTTTTCAGGATTACTTGAGGATCAGCCAGCCTGGCCTCTCTGCTGCTCCAGTGCTGGCATGGTCTAGCCACAGATATCTGCCTCGGACTTCTCTCTGCAGCCCCACATGAGCACCCCTTACTGTGGCAAGGGACAAGTGCTTCCTGAATAGGCCACCCATCTGCTCTCCTATTGCAACCAAAGTAGAGTCACACAGGAGTGTACCAAAATGCACATTTTCAGCCAGGTGTAGTGGCGCAAGCTTGTCATCCCAGATACTTGGGAGGCTGAGGCAGGAGAATCGGGAGTTCAAAACCAGCCTCAGCAAAAGCAAGGCACTAAGCAACTCAGAGAGACCCTGTCTCTAAATAAAATACAAAATAGGGCTTGGATGTGGCTCAGTGGCCAAGTGCCCCTGAGTTCAATTACCAGTCCCCCCTCACCATGCACATTTTCAGATCTAAGCCCCACACCCCAGTTTTCCGATGAGAAGGTGGAGAAGAGGGCTTGGGGTTCTCCCAGTTGGTGCCATCTCTCAAGAAGCACCAATTTAGAGGAATAACCTTGAGCTCAGGAGCCTTGTCACCGTCCCTCTGAATGTGAAGTCACTAGGAAGAGCCACTCCCTTGGTGTCCCCATCTGTGAGGTTGGGATGATTGTGCCAGCTTCAGTGGGTCCACTGAGGGGTCAGTGTGACCAGGCTGGCACTGAACACATGCTGATGAGACCCAGCTCTCTTCTCCCTTCCTGCCCAGGAACTCCGGCTCTTCCCACACAGTGTATACAGGGGATGGGGATGGGTGGGAACCTGCCTCGGTGGCTCAGGTGACTGACCTTGGTCAGGGCTCCGCAGTCTCAGCTTCTGTATTTGTGAATTCAACCAACTTCAGGTCAAAAATATTTGGAAACAAAATTTCAGAAAGTTCCCAAAACCAGAATTTGAATTTGCCCCACATTGAGCACCATGCTGAACCCACCCAAAGATGGATCGGGGTGCCCTGCTGCAGCCTCTCCCATTTTGCATATCCCCCACACCCACAGCCTCTTTCAACCCTCACTGTCCAAATATTGTCACCCCCATGTCTAGGTAGGCAGGCAACGATGGCTTCCTATCTACTGAACATAGTATTTTTTTCTCTTCACAGTTTCCTAAACAGTACTGTTTACAACTATTTACATAGAGTTACATTGTATTTGGTATTATAAGTAATCAAGAGATTAAAGTATGCAGGAGGATGCACATAGATTATAAGCAAACACTGTTACATTTTATATGAGGGAAATGAGCACCTGAAGATTTTGGCATCTGTGGGGGGTCCTGGAATCAATCCCCCCTGGAGGATCCTGAGGAACAATGCTATGTTCATGTTGGGAAGCTTCCAGGTCAGGAAGTTGGCAAACTCTACCCCTCCACCACCCAGAAAGATCCTCCTACCCAGGAGAAAGGAAGGGGGGCCCAGCAATGCTCCCCCTGTCTACACTGCCGGTCCTCATTCCCAGAAACTTGTGGCTCAAAGGTCTGTCACCATCCAATGGCCAGAGTCCTGGGGGAGGGTCTGACTAAGCCAAACAGATGCTTGATGGAAAATCCCATTGAGCTGGCTGCTGGGCAGGGCCTGGAGGAAGAGTGTAAGCAGATGTGAAGTTCTGGAAAATTCTGTTTGACTGCTGTGTGCAAGATGGATGGTTGAGGATCTGGAGACTTCCAGAGGCCATGGACCTCTGCGGCCAGCAGGAGCTGCCTCTGAGCTAGGGCCTCCCCAGGGTGGCCTAGGACATGCACGGGAGAAGGGCAGGGTCAGTGGAGGGAACTCTCAAGCAAAGACACCGCAGCTGGACATCCCAGGTGGCTGCAGTGAGATTGCCAGCCAGGAGGAGGCGGGGACTGGTTCACAGGGCCATGCTTTGGCCTTGGTCCTGGAGGTCAGTAATGCCCCAGAGTTTTTTAAGTGTGAAGTTCTTCCCAGAGAAGACTTAGATTTTCAAAGCACTGATTGAAAAATAGTCGCAGTAAATTTTATGATTTTCTTTTTTTTTTTTTTTTAAGTACCCAGCTTCTAGATTTTTGAAACGAGGAGCCCAGGAACATGTCTCATGGCATTTGACAGAGTTTGGCTAGAGGGACCCAGGAGGAGAATGTCCAAAACCTGCCCCGCCAGTTCCCTACTGCTGCTCCCCACTCTACCTGGGGGACTGAACCCACAGAAAACCAAGGGCTGATGTGGCTGGCAGCTGTGCCGGGGCCAGGGAACCTGCCTGGACGGATCTGGGGGCCAGCCCGCCTAAGATGATACCAAAATGAGAAATGAGTTTTCTGCGGTTTGGGGGAGCAGCAGCTGGCTGGCTCCCCACTGGTGGCTCCTACAGAAGAAGCTGCACCTGTGTGGATGCTGCAGCTCCCTTGGCCTGGCCCCGGGGCAGTTTCCCTTCTCAGCCTGAGGAAGTGCAGGATACAGAAAAGCAGTTATCTGGAAGTTGATTTTAATTTTAAAGCAAACATTTCACCTCTGCTTGCCCCCCCACCCCCTCACCCCAAGAAACCCCAGCAAGGGCGGACCTGGGTGGAGGGAGAGAGGGAAAGAGAGAGCAAGCTGGGCTCAGGTGACTGGGCAGGTGGTACACAGAGAAGAACAGGGAGGAAGGGCACCTTTCACCTCCTGCCTACCAGAGAACAGGACCCAACCAAGGTCCTGGGAGCCAGCCAATCAGAGCAGCGGTTTCAAGTTCCTAGGGCCCAAAGGGGCGGAGTGCGCTGGGCTGCAGCCAACCCTGTGGGCCCGTGGATGCTGTTCAGATTCAGAGCCTCTACCCACCCCACCCACGGAGGTTAGAGCCCAGAGGCCACGATTGCTCTGGTGGACACCTGGAGCTATAAAAGGGTTTCGGGTAAAGGTGTCACATGGTAAGATGTGCTTGTATGATTATTAGAACATTTATTGAGCACTTACTGCAAAGCACCGTGCTAAGTGTGCTTCTCAACTAATTTTAATAAGGTTCACCCTGCCTTTTAGGGAGAGGAGAATTTCCTGTGATTCCATAAATTAAATGAGAGCTTTTTGATAAATTTCCTTTCTGCTCAAAACCGCCACAGTGGCTTTCGGTTGCTTGCAGTTAGGAAGCCTGGTTGCTACAATGTCGGTACATTTTTGTGTGGTGTACAAGAGCAGGCATATGTGGCTTGATTAATTGAGGCGACCACAGTAATGAGAACCACAAATAACAGCGTCCCAGGGTCTGTTTCCAGGTGCCTAATTAATAGTCTGAAGGTGGAAGTGTCCTTCCTGAAGGAAAAGAGCGTATGAGTATTTACAGTAGGATTCCAAGCAGAATATCCCCACCAAGGAAGAGGCCAACACTTGCATGTTTCAGATGAAGACACTGAGGGTCAGGGTGGTCATGGAGGCCTGGTAGGTACTCAGGGGTGGAGCTGAGGACAAGCCAAAACCCTGGTCTTCTCCTGCTGCACCCACTGCCCATCTCATGGGACTCAGAGGTACCTGATGGGGTGGGAGAGAGGCAGGAGAGGACATCAGAAGGGATAGAGCACTGTGCCCATGAGGTCCCTGTGACTTTCAAGAGGAGACCCTAGTTGGGCTGGTGAATGCCACCCTAGCCCCCACCCTGTGTCCACATCATCCAGGCCTCATCAGGGATCAGCCCACAACAGGCTCTTGTGGTCCACCAAGAGCCTGTTGTGTACCTTGTCCTGTGCTGCGCACATCCCCAGTTGTGAACTGCTGTGGGGCTCTGTGTCCAGAAGATGCTGTCAATCTAACATGACCTGCAAAGTGAGACCAGATCTCTGAGCTCCCGCTGGGCTGGTGCCCTCCACTGGGAGTGGGACCCTTCTCTTGAGCCCAGCCTCTCTTGAGCCTGCCCGATGGAGAGGGCCTGGCTTTGCCACTCAGCTCCTTCCTCCCTGCCGCCCTGAGGAGGGAGCTGCAGAGTTTCCTTGGGTTCTAAGAAAACAGAAGGAGGCAGAGTAGGGGAGAGAAGAGAAAGGCCAAGGACCTGGGGCCAGCTCTGAGGGGGGTTGCTCTGTAATTTCCATGGAGTCAAGTTCTCAACTTGTTTTTCCCCCCGATCTATTCTAGGACCCTAAACCAGATGCTGGCTCATAGTAGATGCTCAATAAACACTACTTGCTGGGCACGGTGCCACAAACCTATAGTTTTCTCCACCACTGAGGTAGGAAGATTGCAAGTTTGAGGCCAGCCTGGATAACATAGCAACCGTCTTTTTAAAAAACCACACAGCAGCAATGACAACAGCAAAGCACCACTTGAGTGACTGAAAGGAGTGTGGAGAAGGGAGTCCCTCAGAGTGGCAGTAGTTGAGAGAAGTGGCCAATGAGAAGGAAGCATTAGGAAGCATTTCCAGAGACTGTGCCTGTTCCCTTCAGAAAGCGCAAAAGCACAAGTAAAGCCAGCCTCGGTGGCGTGGCCTGCAATCCCAGCAACTTGGAAGGCTGAGGCAGGAGGGTCACAAGTTCAAAGCCAGCCTCAGTAACTTAGTGAAGCTCTGTGTCAAAATAAAAAGGACTGAGGATGTGGCTCAGCGGTGAAGCACCCCTGGGTTCAATTCTCAGTGCCAGAAAACAAGCAAACAATTGTAAAGCACTTAAGTCGTTTAAAAATTATTTTGGGGGTGTCAGAACTGTGATCCTGCCGCGTCCGGCCAAGGGAGCCGAGTCCGGCGAGGGACGGCGAGGTTAAAAGACACACAGGACACCAAGGTTCTTCATCCAGGAGTCAATAATAATCTTTATTGCTAACACACCTTTTTTTATACCCCAAGCAGCAGAAGTGGAAAACTACCCAAAAGCAGGAGGGAGGGGGGAGAAATTTAGTTTCAACATCTATTATTGTCAGGTACCGAAACCTCCCTTAACAATAAGTCCATCAGACCAGAAAAGGTCAAGGCATTCCCGTGGGATACATATGTCTCAGACGGATAAGCAGGAACAGAAAAACCGCAAGTTCGCCATGGCCTTGTGAGCTGGCCACACTGGCATGCAGAACAAACTAGTGGAGGTAGGGCTCCAGGGGCCAAGGTGGACCTGTTGCCAACAAGTCCCCCTCTTTTGTTTTTTGCATGCCAGTGGGAATCAAGTAGCCCCTGTCTTAGGTCGTTCACAGCCCTTGCGATGCTTACCCGTCTCTGGGAAGGCCCCGATTCCCTGGCTTAGGTCGCACAGCAAGCGTGAAAGTTGCCCGTCACTGGGTACTACAAGATCAGCTCAAGGTGTTATGACCTATCAAGACATTATTGCGGTAAACGCTTAACCGTCTCCACCCACGGGACCCATGACCGTCACCGCCGAATGGCAGATGTGATTGGACCGAGAGATTAGACAGCAAAGATCCTAATACAGGAAGGCAAGAGGGAGAGGTATGCATAGAGAAAAGATATGGCAGGAGTTCTTCTTTTAAGGAGGACACTCATCTTCGGATAGGTCTGAAGTATATCTCAGAGAGGCGATCATCCATCTTCAAGCGTTGATAGTGAACCTGTATCGGCTTAGAGGCTAAGATATTAATTTGATCCTTAATGAATTGTACTATCTTATTTACAATGCAGGGTCCTATTGCCACTACTAGAAGGAGGCCTAACAATGGTCCCAATAAGGGAAGAAGATAAGGCAAAAATCCATTAAGTCCAGTCCAGAGAGGGTTCTCAAATAATTCCCTCCTCCTTTTTTCTAGGTCTTCTTGGAGTTGTTTAATTTTTGTGCGAACTATGCCAGATTTGTTAGCATAAAAACAGCACCTCTCCCCAAGGGCTAAACAAATTCCCCCTTGATTGGCAGTAAGCAAGTCTAAACCCCGCCTGTTCTGAAGAACTACTTCTGCTAGGGAGTCTATCTGGTCTTGTAAGTCTTTAATGGTTCCCGACAGGGTTTGCACATCATCTATAAGCTGTTGAGATAGGCGGCGGTAAGAATGTATAGCCGTACCCAATCCTGCCGTGCCTGTACCCACAGCAGCTGTTATTCCAAGGCCAACAAGGAGTGGTAAGGCCTGCACAGCTCTCTTGTGTCTTCTAACTAAGATGTCTAGGCTAGGAATGGGTAGGGGTTCATCTCCTGAGATAATCGTGATATCAGGAAGCAGTAATGCCAGAACGCAACCACCAGTCCAATTTGCTGGGAGCCTGGGAAAAGCTAAATTTCCACCACACATAAAAACTGTACCATTAGGGGGACAAATGGGCGGAGTAGGTGAGGAGTAATTCTTTACTAATGAGCAGTTTCCAAAGGAAGAGACTCCAACATCAACATCATAGGTATTATTTTGCATCATGCCTAGAAGGCATGACATAAAACCACCTAGAGGCTGCACCTTAAAGGGCAGCCCAGATTGACATGTGTTGTCATCATCAATGGTATAATTGATGGGAACCGCCAATGGCATGACTGCACCTGCCGTCATGCAGAGCCAGCAATCACCAGCAAGGGTAGGGTTGGAACTGTTAAGTAAAGAAAAGGTGGTTTCTAGGATATCTAATGTATTGGCATCTAAATCAGGAAACTGGGATTTGGGCAATATCAAGGGGTGGTATGTAGGCTTAGGGATCTCCGGCTTTAAAAGCTTAATCACCTGAAGGTGTTTAATAGCATCAGTGGGTCCCCCTCCGTCAGAGATTCCGATAGGGGCCTGCATGGGCCAGCAGGAAGGTTTACCCACGACGCCCTCACATCCCGCCTCCGTTAACCGAGTCGTGATGCCTTCCCCTCCCCGGTCACCAAGAAAAGGAATATAATTATAAGTGGTCCCCCATTCTCCACGGGTGTTAGTTAGGATGGCCTCAAAATACTGTTTTCCTTGATTATTAACACAAATTGAGGCCGATGTATAACAGGAGATGTGCATTGCCGGGGTGTAATGACAAGTGGCGGAACAGCTTCCAAGAGTCTCGGTCGGATTAGGGACAACAAGTCCGGGCTTATTAACACATACCCATTTTGGTTGTTTAAATCCTCCGATGTTTTCATTGAGTTCAGCCGCCATGTAGGCTACTTTAGTCCCACAATCAATGCTCTGGATATAACCAGAGGGGGCCGAGTGCCGGGGCCCTCCCTTACACTCACAAGGGGCTCCAAAAAGATATTCATGAATATTCCCAGGTGGGGGGTCAAGCCCTCCTTCAGCAAACCTGTCCAGAAGGAATGCCACAAGAGGGGTCCAGCTCATGAGGTGTGTCTCGGCACTCACTTGAAGGGGTGAGAACAACAACGGCAGGATCAGCCATCTTGGGAACTTCATTTTGTCTTGAATTTTCATTCACCGGTCTGGTGCAGCGCTCCGGGATCCAAATGGGCTTCTCAGTTCCTGGGGGAAAAACACATACAGCTCCCCTCACTCTAGCTAAGAGTGGAGCCGGGGGTTGCCACTTTCCGGTGGATAAATCTTTCCACCTTATTTGAGCATCTTGTACAGTGGGAGGGGAAAAGTGGCGTTGTGCAGCCCTGCGCCCTCCAGTGTCAGTGAGTAAAAAATTTAAAGTAAATAAGGTTATGCTTAGAAGTGCTTGTGGTCCCTGACAATTCCGGTATATCTCCCCCTCTTTTGTTTTTTGTAAATAAGTTTTTAAATGTTGATGGGCTCGTTCCACGATAGCTTGTCCCTGTGGATTATAAGGGATTCCAGTCTTATGATTAATTTCCCATTGGGTGCAAAACCGTTGAACCGCCTGGCTTACATATGCGGGACCATTATCGGTTTTGAGGCATCGTGGGGTGCCCATGGAGGAAAAGGCTTTTAGAAGATGACTGATAACGTCCTTAGCCTTCTCTCCAGTATGTAAGGTGGCAAAAATGAAGCCAGAATACGTGTCAGTGGAAACATGTATAAAGGAGAACTTACCAAAGCTAGGGAAGTGTGTAACATCAGTTTGCCAGACATCATTAGGTTGTAGTCCTCTTGGATTAACCCCAAGGGAAGGAGAATGAATAAATGGTACACAGGATGGACATAATGAGACAATCTGTAAAGCTTGGTCTCATGAACATCCTGTGTGGAAGCGTAAAGACTGTGCATTTAAATGAAATTTGTTATGGAATTGTAAGGCCTTATCATATTCGGTCGTCACACAGGAAAGGCCGACAGCATGAGTAGCAGCGTCTGCTTTTGCGTTGCCCTCTGACAAAGGTCCAGGGAGCACTGAATGGCTTCAGATGTGGCCGATGTTTAAAGGATCTCATCTAGCCCAAATGAGAAGCTGAACTACCTGTAGTTGTTCTGTGATGGTTGATTGCTTTCCAATATATGATGCTGTTTCTATGACTAGAGCCAGATTGGCTACATACAAGCTGTCAGTATATACATTAAGAGGAATAGAACTATAGACTTTGATAGCTATGATTAAAGCTTCAACTTCCGCCTTTTGGGCCGACTGACCTGACACAGGTTGTCGGAGAATTTGAGATCCATCAAAAATGACAGCAAATCCATTTTTGGCCCCATCTGTATATACAGTTTGGGCCTTTGGAATAGGTTCCCCTTTCATAATCTTTGGGAAGATAATGGGACACCTTTTAAAGCCCTCCAAAAGTCTATGTTGGGAAGTGATTATCAATCTGACCCTTGAAGCTGCACAGGAAAAGACACCAAAGGTCATGTTCTTGTTGTAACTTGTGTATCATATCTTGAGTGTAAGGTTGAATAAGTATGTCAAAGGTTTTTCCAAACAATGCATCACCCAAATATTTAGCCTTCCAAATTAAGTTAATAACTAGCTCATAAAAGGGAGTCAGTACCCGGGGGTTAGAAGCCGGCAAGTGGACCCAATAAATGGGACCCGTTTGCCAGAACACTCCAGTGGGAGTAATTTTAGAAGGTAGAACTATAAATGACAAGGGCAGAGAATAATCTATCTGCGTAATCTGCATGTCCTGCAGAGCCTCTTCTATTAGCCTCAGTGCTCGTAAGGCTTCTGGTGTAGGTACTCTACATGACATAGGAGAAGGATCTCCTCGCAAGAGGTCATACAGGGGTTTGAGCTCTCCAGTTGGAATATGAAAGGACAGGCGCAGCCACTGTATTTCTCCGAGGAATGTCTGCCACTGATGTAAAGTTTTGAGCTGATTTATCTGGAACTGGGGTCTCTGGGGAAAGATTCCTGTTATTAATGATGTATCCCAAATAATTGTAAGGGTGTTGAAACTGGACCTTTTCGGGCACTATGACCAGCCCTGCCCCTTTTAGAAGGGATTGGAGGACTTCATAAGATTGAAGAAGCCTTTCTTTCTTGGGCCCTGCCAGTAAGATGTCATCCATATAATGAATGAGGCAGAGCTGTGGGAACTGCTGTCGAAAGGGTCGTAAAACCTCAGCTATAAAATATTGGCACATTGTAGGACTATTAGTCATCCCTTGAGGTAGGACGGTCCATTCATACCATTGGTAAGGTTCCCTAAAGTTTGTTGAAGGCAAGGAAAAAGCGAAACGCTTTTGGTCTCTTGGGTCTAAGGGGATAGAGAAGAAACAATCTTTTAAATCTATGACAATAAGGTGCCAATCTTTTGGGATCGCAGTAGGAAAGGGTAGCCCTGGCTGTAAGGGTCCCATGGGTTGCATAGTTTTATTAATAGCCCGTAGGTCCTGAAGAAGCCTCCACTTCCCAGACCCCTTTTGTATAACAAAAATAGGGGTATTCCAAGGGGAGGTGGAGGGCACCACGTGTCCTAACTTAAGCTGGTCTTGAACTAATAGGGAAGCGGCCTGTAATTTGTCCTTGATAAGGGCCACTGTTCTACCCACACAGGGTCATCTGATAACCAAGTAATGGACAGTGGAGGCGGCCGCACTTCAGTGGCCCCTAGGATAAATTTCCCAGTCCTCTCCGGTCTCTTCCCTGCTGGGTAACCTGTTCCGCTCGATCCACGGGTGATATTCTGCCCTCATGTCTCTTTCCTAGTCCCCTTCTGGGGATCCATCCCATGTCTAGCATTGTATCATTAACAAAGTCATTATTTCCTTTCAAAGTCTGGGTAGTGAGAATAGCCCCCATTTGATGAAGTAAGTCCCTCCCCCAAAGGTTCGTGGGGAGTCCAGTCACCACATAGGGCTGGAAATGGCCACTATGTCCTTCGCCATCTCTCTTTTTGGTCGGGTCTGTCCTATCCCCTGTAATATGGCCGAGGGACTCTGGAGGGGCCAGGCAGGTGGCCATTGTTTTTCAGAAATGACAGAGACATCCGCCCCCGTATCTAGTATTCCCTTGAAAGCCTTGTCCTGTATCTCAATGGTCAGGTTGGGACGCGAATCCAAATGAGCTACCCAAAAGGCCTGGGGAGTTCCAGTGAAGCCAAAGCTGCTGTCGCCCTGGGACCCACGGAGGGCGTGCCCAGGAATGGAAGCTAAGGGTAGCAGCAGCAATTGAGCTATACGCTCCCGGGGGGAAGAATAACAATTCCTTGGGTAGCTTCTACTATTATTTTTATCTCTCCCTGATAATTAGCATCAACAACCCCCGTAAGACTCTTCAAGCCCCACTGAGTTGCGTTACCTCGTCCCAACACTAGTCTTACCGTCCTCTCTGGCAGGGGTCCAAAAACCCCAGTAGGCAGCGTCTGAGGTCCCATTTGGGGAGTTAATACCGCTCGGGAGGTGGAACTGAGGTCCAGTCCTGCGCTTCCTGGTGTTCCCCTGGGGAGTTCCCAGATAGAAAGGGGTTGGTCAGTGGGAGGCGGCGGAGACGCCCACTCCCTGGGGCACTGTTCTGTCCCTGTATTGCCCCGTACACTTTGGCTTCCGGGGCCCGGGGCGGGCCTCTGCTCCCGTTTCCCGACGGTATTGGGTTACCCTGGATGTCAAATTTTGACCTGCACTCACTGCTCCAATGATTTCCTTTATGACATCTAGGACAAATTCCAGGCATCCCTCTGCCAGCACCCTCGCTCCTTTCCGGGCAGTTTCTCTTTATATGTCCCTCTTTCCCACACTTAAAACACCCCTTAGAGCGGGTTCCCCTGTTATCAGCTTTTTGCATTCCAGTCTTAAGGGCAGCAGCCAAAACCTGACCAGTAATATGAGGCCCATCTATATCTTTGCATGCTTGAATCATGTCATCTATACTTTTGGCCCGGGAGGACTTAATAGCATTTTGGCAGTAAGTGTTAGCGTGTTCATATGCCAGTTGTCTAATAAGTGGCATAGCCTGTTCTAGATTAGGGAATATTTTTCCAGCAGCCTGCATTAGGTGGGCTATAAAGTCCGAATAAGGTTCAGAGGGCCCTTGAGAGATCTTGGAAATTTTTGTTTCAGTCTTAGAAATGGGCAGGGCTTTCCAGGCATGAACTGCAGCTGAGGCTATTTGAGCATAAACACCTGGGTCGTAATTAATTTGTTGGCCTATGGTGGCATATTGCCCAGTTCCTGTCAACATTTCAGCATTTCGCCGTTGATGGCCCGCATTCAGGTTAATCTGAGCCAGCTCGCGGCACCTTTCATGATATTCACTTTTCCACAATAAGAAATCCCCTCCAGATAACACAGCCCTGCAAAGTTGCTGCCAATCATTAGGTATCAGTTGACTGGCTGAGAAAGACTCGAAGAGGGTCAATGTGAAAGGGGCATGAGGTCCATAATTAATGACCGCCTCCTTAAGCTGTTTTATGTCCTTGAAGGCTAGGGGGACATGGGCTCTGGCTGGCTGTCCATCAGCATCGGCGTTTTCAATCATTGGAAAAACCTGAGCCGCTCTAGAACCCCAGTGGACCCCCGCCCGTCTAGTAGGGGCGTCCTCATTCCAATCAGGATTATAGGGAGGAGGTGCGGCAATTGAGGGGGCCCCAGGCACCCTCACATTTGCCCTTTTAAGGCGATGTTCTAGTTCCTCTATCTCCCTTTCTAATCCCTCCTCTTCCTCAGAGAGAGAACTGAGGTCCTCAGGATCCTTTTTGGGCTTAGAAATCTGGAGGCGTTTCCTACCCCCTGAGCCCGAGTCCTCAAGAGGACCCTCATCCTTTAAGGATTCTGCCATTTGCTCTTCCTGCACCTGATTAAGGGCCTGTTCACATTCAGCAAGCTGATCCTTGATCTTTACTTTATCTGTTAATAAAGCATCCTTTACCAACCTCCATAAGGAAAAGGTGGCAACTGGGACACTGTCCGAGCCCCGGTCCCTCAATAATTTCTGAAGGTCATGCCTCACCAGGTCCCAGTCACTATTATTAAGAAATCCTCCTGTCAGAAACCAAGGACAAGCCTGGGCAATAATTTCAACGAATTCGGTTGCAGTCTTAGTTTTTATTCCTGTTCCTTGTGTATTCAACAGCTCTTTCAGTTCGTTGGCCAGACGAACCTTCGCTGTTGAGTTACCCATGGTACGTACCCTGTCTCTTTAAAATATCTTTAAACCAATCCTCCCCCTTCTTTCTTAGAAGGTGAGCCCCGTCCGCTTACCCCTGCTTTCCGGATCTCGGTGGGAGCCTCCAATTGCCGCGTCCGGCCAAGGGAGCCGAGTCCGGCGAGGGACGGCGAGGTTAAAAGACACACAGGACACCAAGGTTCTTCATCCAGGAGTCAATAATAATCTTTATTGCTAACACACCTTTTTTTATACCCCAAGCAGCAGAAGTGGAAAACTACCCAAAAGCAGGAGGGAGGGGGGAGAAATTTAGTTTCAACATCTATTATTGTCAGGTACCGAAACCTCCCTTAACAATAAGTCCATCAGACCAGAAAAGGTCAAGGCATTCCCGTGGGATACATATGTCTCAGACGGATAAGCAGGAACAGAAAAACCGCAAGTTCGCCATGGCCTTGTGAGCTGGCCACACTGGCATGCAGAACAAACTAGTGGAGGTAGGGCTCCAGGGGCCAAGGTGGACCTGTTGCCAACATGATCCTGCGACCACCACCTGCACTGAAATGGCACCAGAAGCCCCAAACATTTATCAGCTGGATTTTCTTTTATTTCATGCTGGGGATGAAACCCAGGGCTTCATGCATGCTAGGCAAGTGCTCTACCACTGAGCCACGACCTCACCTACCAGCTGGCCTTCACTACAGTCCTCCCCAACAATTGCTGAGCAGATAAACAAGGACAGGCACTGCACTCAGGTCCTTGCTCCTGTGCTCATGCACATGCAGCACCTGGAACAGGTAGCCCCATCTTTATCCTCAACTTACAGAGGCTCAGAGAGGTTGGGCCACTGGCCCAGGATCACCCCGTTATGTGATTACCTGGGATTCCATCTGGCGGGCGCCCTCTTGACCTCACACTCCTTCACAAGAGCCTGGGCATTGGAGGGCTGAGCAAGGGGAGCCGCAGGTTTGGAGCTGGCCAGGCTGCCTAGGCATCTGAAAGGGACTCTGAGCCTGATCTTCTGCCCATCCCTCCAGACTTCCGCTTCATCTGCCCAGGGAGAAAAAAATGTTGACAGGATGGGGCCCAGGGTTCATCTGGGGGTTGATGTTTTCCCAGCTGTGGAGGGGCCACCTCCTCCCAGCCTCCCTGAGCCAGCCCTGGACTCCAACAGCTCCAGAGAGCCAGGATGGAGTGTGGTCATCATGGGAAAATTAGGAAACACAGGCAGCTAAAGAAAACAAAGATCAGTGGTAATCCCTTCACCCAGAAAGACTCCTTTCTACCAGCGTGTGCACGCATGAGTGTGTATGCCTGCTGTATGGATATACTACATGGATATTCATTTGACAATATTGTGAATGTTTTTCCGTATTATTAAATGTTCTACATTAGTTTCCCGAGCTTTCACATGTTGATTTATGTTAACTTGCAGAGGTATTATTACTTGCAAAACCTTTCAGATTTGCATCTTTACTGAGGTGTAATTTGCATTCAAAAAAATTCACTCATTCTCTTTTGACAAACTCACATCGTAGTCATCTGATCCTCACCATTATCAAGATGTAGAACAATCCCTTCACCTGGAAAATGTTCCTTTGAGCCTCTTTAAGGTCAACTCTCCCACAAACCCAGTCCCTGCTTTGTGTTTTTATTTTCCTACAAGTTGGCCTTTTCCGGAATGGATATAAGTGGATCATGGGGTGTCCTGAGTTTGGGGTCTGGCCTCTCTCACTTAGCATAATGCTTGGAAGTCTATCCACGGTGTTGCATCTTATCAATCTTGCTGCATTTTATTGCATGGATGGACCACTGATTTTTTCTTTTTCTTTTTTGTACTGAGGATTGAACTCAGGTGCGCTTAATCACTGAGCCACATCCCCAACCCTCTATTTATTTTGAGACAGGGCCTTGCTAAATTGCTGAGGCTGGCCTCGAACTTGCAATACTCCTCTCTCAGCCTCCCCAGGCACTGGAATAACTGGCATGCACCATTGCACCCAGCTCCACAGATTGTTTATCCATCCACGAGTTTTGGCTGGCTATGAGCTGAGCTGTAATAAACATTCACATTCTGGCTTTTGTGGGAACATAAGTTTTTATTTCTTTTGAGAAGAGACTTAGGAATGGGCTGTTGGACCCAACAGTACAATCATAAGCATATGCAACATCATTTTTTTCTAAACACAGAAAAAGCAAATTGTGTTTTAGTCATGGTTGTCTGAGAGCATTATGAAAATTCAAAAACAGAGATAAACTGCTAACAGTTTAATATAAACCCTTCCTTCTTCGTACTGTGTCTGTGAACATCAAGGGGATTGTACCGTGTGTGTGGCTCTATGTTCTGCTTTTTTCTATATTTATTTCCATGTTACCACATAAAAACTTATCACTTTTTTTTTTTTAGATTTCTGTATTATAATTACAGATTACAACATTCCAATGCATGGAGGCACAAAAATTTATTTAAACCATTCCTTCCTATTGAATATACAATTAGTTTGCTTTCTGGTTTGGGGCTCTTATAAACAACAGCTTTGAGCAAGATCTTTTTTCACATTAGATTTCTAGACAGGGGAATTAGTTGCATATCGCTTTATTTCACTGGACTTTTTCCTCACATTTTTTTCTTCTTGCCTACCTGCAAAGTCCATCCACCACACAATTTGCATTGCAAATTTAGGAGGTAAGCATGATCTTTCCAATCAGCCATGCCAGAATAGTTAACTATTCTTATAGAAGAGAATAGAAATGACTCCTGATGCCATACCACACATTAAAACTCCATTCCAGATGGATCAGAGATTTAAATGTTAGTGGTAAAACTTTATAGTTTTAAAATAAAATATAGGAGAGCATCTTTATGGAATGGTCTTTTATAATAAAGCTTTTCTTAAATGATAAGCAAAAGTTTAAAACAGAAACATTTGGTAAGATTGACTATGAACAAGTTGAGCATGTCTGTTCATCAAAAGACTCCCAGGAAGAGAAGCAAAACACAAGTTGCAATCTGCAATTGGGTATTTGCCACACATAACTAACCAAAGGGCAGCATCTAACAAAGGAAGCAGAGAAGCACTCATCTTCATCGTCAGCCAAGGAAGAACAGGTGAAGACCAATGAGATATCATTCCGAGCCCTACCCATTGAGTATGCAAAAATTTAAAAGCCAAACAGCTCCGAAGCAAGATAAGAGTCTGGGAGGAGCTGATGGGCATGTTAAATCTGGAAAACAATTTTGTGTTTTTTGTCAATAAAGCTATGGATGCTACATTGTGGTTAGGGTGCACATATATACCTGCTTCCACTCCCAGGTGGCCCAAAAGAAGCTCCTGAAACTGAATATTAGCCATCACACAGAAACACTCAGGAAGCTCTGTTCATGGGGAAGGAACTCAGTATCCATGAGCTGTAGAAAATAGATACATTGTAACACACAGACAATGAACCAGACAGAAGCAAAAATGAATGAAGCTGTAAGCTTGTGTCAATGTGGACCCATCCCAAAAGCAGACTGTTGAGAGGAAAGGCAAATCACAGAGGAGTATATTCAGAAAATTCCATCTATATAGAGCTTGAAAACAGACAAAGCAATGGAATATTTTGTTTGGGGATTTTTTCTTTCTTTCTTTTTTTTGTGTGTGTGTGTGTGAGCGCGCACACGCGCACACATACACATGCAAATACACAAATTGCAGAGAACAGTAAGGACATGGGAGGCAGAGGCTTGGGGAGAAGGGGTTAGCCAATTTTTAGAGACAGCAAAGGGCTTGTCTGGGAGTGCCGCCAGAAAAGTTCTGAGAAGTTCCCAGAGAGGGGGACCTTGACTCAGAATAAGTGGGGTTCTGGGACTTTGGTATTGGGGATTGAACCCAGAAGTGCTTTCCCACTGAGCCACATCTCAGCCCTTTCTATTTTATTTATTTTTGAGACAGAGTCTCACTGGGACCACAGGCTGGCCTCTAACTTACCATCCTTCAGCCTTGGCTCCCCAGTTGCTGGGATTACAGGCGTGCAGCAGCATGCCTGCCTACAAGTGGGATTCTTGACAAACATCTGAGAAATAAATTTAAGGATGCATCAGTTAGAGACATGGGAATTTAGGAAAGTTAGAAAAGCAGAGACACATTCAGGGGAGAATAAAGATCATCTTAGAAGTGAGGGATGCTTTGGGGGTTCTTATGTTCCTCTTTCAAAGAGAATTTGGTGAGGGGTGGGCAAGGGAGGCATGTAGGGGTGACATTATCTGGTAATCACAAGACAGTGTGTGGTGTCTGGTCATTTCCAAGATCCTTAGGCTGACATGGTCTCTATTATTTGATCAATAGGTAACATTGGAAAGTCCCCTAGATTATTGGTTTCTTAAAATTCGTATCTCTCTTTGCTTGATCTATTTATTAATGGACCAATTAATACTATACAAGCTAATTTTCATAAGTGGATGCATTCATGGCAACACTAAGATTTATAGATTTCCCAGAAATTTAGGAGAGACAAGCCTAGAAGAAGAATTTATTTGGGGATAGATGGGCCTGCAAAAAACATGCAGAATTTCAGATTAAAGTCACATTTCCTGTTCTTTTTGTTTCCTATCTTTTTTTTCCCCCTATCCTGTATCAGTGGCCTGGCTTCCATTTTCTTTTTCTTTTCTTTCTTTCTTTTTTTTTAGGTAGATGGATACAATACCTTTATTTTATTTTTATGTGGTGCTGAGGATTGAACTCAGTGCCTTCCACATGTGAGGTGAGCGCTGTACCACTGAGCTACACCCCCAGCCCCTGGCTTGCATTTTCCAACCAACCAGTCCCAAGCCTATACCAGCCCCTTTACCTGCCTCTCATATTCCAAGCCAGTAGTTCTGCCCCGTGTCATGCCAGAGCCTGGCACTAGGTAACCAGAGAGCCACCCCTACAGCCTCAAACCTGCTGGAATTACTTAAAGTGGCCATTCCCAGGAGGATTGCTCTGCCCTGTCTTGCCTTTCCCATGGAAACCCCAATCAAACCTCTGGGCTTGGCTCCTGCTCCTGCTTCCTGGCCTGACCTCATGCCTTTCCACGTGGCCCCATGTGGCAATGCCGTCCGCTTCTACTGGGAACCATAAGTAATAATTGCTTCTTTCAGTAGCATTAGCTTCTCCAGGTTGTTACCATTTACCTCAATAAACACTCCCAGATACAATGCTTGGGATGGGAGGATCTGATCAGATCCTCCCAAAGGATTCCAAGCTAGTAGTTCTGGAAGCGGTGAGGGTGACAGTCACATCACATGACTACACAGGTCAGGGTCACTCCAGGTGAATTTGGGGACTAAAAAAAGACACAGACACAGAAAGTACCTTTTCTTTGGGTTCAGTGACCGCTCCCCAGCTGCAGCTCCCATAAGGGGGGCAAGACAGGCAAGAAAGAGAGCGAGGAGCACATGCTGACCCCTTTTATTGGGAAGAAGCCATTCAGATGAGGCAAGGGGTCAGGTTTTTCTGATGTAGCTTCCTGATGTCTCTGTCAGCAGGTTGACTGACACCTAGGAAGGCCACGCCCATCTCATGTGCTGTGTGGGGATCATAGGCAGAGGGAGGGAAAAAAAAAAACATATGTCGCCGGCCCAAACATGGGTTCAGTCCCCTGTGCACTCGATGCTCACAATTCACACACACACAGCCCAGGGCTGGCTTGCCACGTCTCCCCAATCTCATCGCTCAAGGCTAAGGGGCGCTCAGTTCCCATGTGGCAGCTCCCGTAATGTTCAGTTTCTTAAATACGTTGTTGTGTTCAAGGGTATTAATCATCATTCTTCAAATGGTACATGAATGTCTTGTATCTGTGGCATGTTCTACAGTAAAAATGAAAACAAGATCCACAGTCCTTTTATTCACTCTAGAAGTAATATATCATGTGTCATTATTAATTTCTTAGTTTTGATAAATATGTTAACATGTCGAGGAACAGGTGGAAAGTACACTGGAATTCTTCATACTATCTTTGCCATTCTTTTAGAAATCTAAAATTAATTCAAGGTAAAGTTTTTTTTTGCTGTTGTTGTTGTTTTAGTAATTTGGATGCTGGACCATGCAGGGC